AGAGAGTCTTGATGCTGTGGGATGCCACATTTGTTTTCAGAGAGTCTTGATGCTGTGGGATGCCACATTTGTTTTCAGAGAGTCCTGATGCAGTCAGGGGTCCTTATCCACTTGGAGGATGACTTCTAACTGCGGGTCCTCCTGATGTGTCAGGGATGCTACCACTATGGCAGGGGGTCCTGCTGCAGTGAGAAATGTCACTTGTTGGAGATGTCACCTTTGTCTGTAGGGTGTCCTGATACTGTTGGGGATTGTACTACTGTCTCGGGGGGTTACCCTACTGTATTTGTCAGGGAGAACATCTACTATTCATGACCACGGAATAAATTTTAATTAATATAAAACTGATGACTTCACAATTAAAACTTTATATACCAATTATATACATACAATGGAAATTTTACAATCCGTTTTGTGTCTTTCAGTTGATCTACAGGGTTTTTTTTCCTGTATCTGCATGTCCACATGGAGACTACTATTGTGTTTTCTTCCCTGCTTTACAAATATACCATGTTGTTCCTTTTTCCTGCTGGGTTCTGCTTAGTCACCTTTTAGTTGGCAGGAAAAGGACTAAAACCCGGGGTTCTGTTTTCATGACATTTCCATTCCCTTTTGAATCCTTCTTGTCCAGTATGGTGTAGTGACCACTGAGCAGGAACTACAAAACAGAATGAAGACTGAACTGTCCATACTGTTTATAGGGAGGATTATGGACTGGGCAGCGAAGCAGCTTGTGTTTTCCCATAGACATCACTGCTCCCTTTTTGACGCAATAATAATAATAATGTATGTCTGCACCAGGGGCGGACTGACAACTCATGGGGCCCCCGGGCAATAGGGGATCATGGGGCCCCTGTGTCCTTGCCCAGACTCAAAAAAGCTTTATAAAAAAAAGGTACCAGGGGCATCTCATGGGGCCCCCTACTGACCCCGAGCCCTCGGGCAGTGCCCGAGTTTCCAAATGGTCAGTCCGCCCCTGGTCTGCACATAGCCTTACCCCGTTTCCCTTTCCTCGGTATTTAAACTTTTTTTGGGCAATCTGTTTCTGCGCGTTTTGACTAAAATGTAAATTGTGGATTGATATTTGCAGTCAGGGCAGGACGATGATGGAATACAAGCAGGGGCTATGATAGATGTAGAATTCAGTGTGAGATGTTAAGATTCTCCTCTCAGACACAGTCAGTCTGAGCTCGGCACATTGGGAACAATGCTCGGTTCACTCACAGTTCATACACTCTGGAAGAGAAGCCGACTTGGATTAGGAACATTGATTTACACCGGATTCCATTCGAAGGTTTACATTTCAGGAGGGGCTGTCAGGACCCCTGTATGGGTTCATCATATGGTGATGTCGATGGGGAGCTAAGGATTATGGGGGTCATAGCCGGCTCCTTATTGCAGAATTAAAGGGACAAGCCTCAATCATGTTTTTGTTGCTTTAATGAAGAGAATGATACACATGGGGTTATTTACTAAAGCTGCATGGTGTAAATCCTGGTGCAGCTCTGAATACAAACCAATCAGCTTCCACGGTTTATTGGCAAAACTCAAGTGAATAGCTGAAGTTAGAAGCTGATTGGCTCCCATGCACAGCTGTACCAGTTTATGTAAATCTCCCCCACAGTCTACCCTGCTTTATGTCCTCCAACTGAACATATGAATCATTGCCTGATAGCAACAGGAGGGAGAATTCACAGGAAATATAGAACCGCAAATGTAAAAATAACTTAAAGTGTTACTAAACCCCCAACAGTACAATCAGTCTGTAGATGCAGGAAAGCATGCTTGTTATACTCACTGTGGGACCTAAGGGGTTAATCCATTCGCATTGTGTAAAAACGCCGTTTGATCCTGTCTTCTCTGCCCCTCCTCTTGTTCAGATGTCCACTTGATAAGACAAGACTGAACCTGTAGCCACATGCACATGCTCAGTTTGGTGTGTATTGCTAGAGTTTTTTTTTTTTTTCTTGGGAGAGTGCATGTGATCAGCAGAGGGCCAATCAGCACTGTCCAGACAGAGGTCAGGGTTCTGCATCCTCCTAGAGCAGAGAAAGAAAAAAACTCCTTCTACAAGCTTTAACTAGTGCTCTGCTGGACACTGATAGAAGTCACAAGACTGCTCTAACTGCTGATGAGAAAAGGTATTTAGCAGTTTATATTTACTAAAATAATTGCATTTCCATGTTCTGTGTACTGTAGGAGACCAGATATAATGAATGCAGGGTCCGGGGAGACCAAATAGTAAATGCGGGGTCCGGGGAGACCAGACTTAGTGAATGCAGGGTCCAGGGAGACCAGATATAGTGAATGCAGAGTCCGGGGAGACCAGATATAGTGAATGCAGGGTCCGGGGAAAGCAGATATAGTGAATGCAGGGTCCGGGGAGACCAGATATAGTGAATGCAGGGTCCGGGGGAGACCGGATATAGTGAATGCAGGGTCCGGGGGACCAGATATAGTGAATGCCGGGGGAGACCAGATATAGTGAATGCAGGGTCCTGGGAGACCGGATATAGTGAATGCAGGGTCTGGGGAGACCAGATATAGTGAATGCAGGGTCCGGGGAAGAGCAGATATAGTGAATGCAGGGTCCGGGGGGGAAAGCAGATATAGTGAATGCAGGGTCCGGGGAAAAGCAGATATAGTGAATGCAGGGTCCGGGCAGACGATATAGTGAATGCAGGGTCCGGGGGAGACCGGATATAGTGAATGCAGGGTCCGGGGAGAGCGGATATAGTGAATGCAGGGTACGGGGAGGGATATAGTGAATGCAGGATATGGGGAGACCGGATATAGTGAATGCAGGGTCCGGGGAGACAGGATATAGTGAATGCAGAGTCCGGGGGAGACCTGATATAGTGAATGCAGGGTCTGGGAAGACCAGATATAGTGAATGCAGGGTCCGGGGGAGACCAGATATAGTGAATGCAGGGTCCGGGGAGACCAGATATAGTGAATGCAGGGTCCAGGGTTTAGTAACACTTTAAATTGTGTGCACCCTTTAAAAAAGTGAGTCTAGAAAGTTGGGAATGTTAGGCCTCTTGCACATGGTACTGAGGTTTGAGCATCTGCTATTTTGGACATATGTTCAGGCATCTGTTTTGCGTGTATTGTGTATATTTATGTGCGTATTTGCACGTATTTGTGCATATATGTTCGTTTGCGTGCACAACACAATATATTCTTAGGCAAAGTACATTAATATTTATGCTCATATGCACATATTTACGTATATTTGCACACAGTTGCGTGAATGCAGAGTAAATTACTGACCAAGAACGTACATTTTTCTTTTTTGTTTCTCTATTGAAGAATACACAGCGCTTCTTTACGTGCCTGTCTGCAAAGGCACATTGTAAATAATGGGCTACATTTTCCCTCAGTAAACAAAATGCTGTACTGAGCTTTTGCAAGCTGCAGTGTGCAGGGGGCCTCGCACAGACATTTCCAGAGACAGCGGAGTTGTATTGTTAGGAAAAGGTTTGGTGCTTCACATACTTCTATATATTAAACCGATGCTTAAATTCTAACACAAAAGAAAGTGTATGAGGAGTAATATTTTATGAAAAATATACAAGTCCATAAAAGTCCCTCACCAATTTGTGTGCCAAAAGATGTGTACATTCTTCTAGTGCTCCATGTATATCTTCGTGTGAATCCTCTTTGTGCTTCACCACCATGTGCCAATATATTGCACTCACCAACCATCCATGACCCCTTATTTTTAAAGACGGTCAAATGCGCTCTGTATCACCAGGATTTACCATCTTAGTGGATTTCTTCTCAACATTCTCCTCATTTATTGTATTGTACCTGTCATCCATAGTTCATAGTGAATTGGTGAATTAGAAGAACAAGGATCTTCACCAGTCCACCTTGGAATAGTTGTATTGTGACCTTTGTGCATATGAAGCTGCAGACTTCACAGGGGATAATGTGAATAAAGGAGACGATTATCATCCTACCAAGGTGTGCTGGTGGAGATCCCAATTTCTCCATGTCCAGGGCCGGACTTCACAATCTGTAACATGAATGAATAATAAAACACAGTCTACCATATTTCTCTTGGCAGTTAAGGGGCACAGCCCCCAAGTGACACCAGCTTTACTTCTTCAAACATCTTAACTGGCTAATGTCATCATCAACGTATCCCAGATGTCTCCCGTCAGTAAACATCATTTCAGGATTCATTTTCAGCCTCTGCAATTCTACAATAAGCGCTATTAGGGGCTAATTCCTGGCCCTAGAGAATCCCGTGTCGGCTAATCCAAGCGTAGACTAATTATTTACTCTCCGCTTCCTGTGACTGCACAGTCTTCCAGCATAAATATCCATCCGCACTGACTTTCCAATCTTATCCGTAATTACATTATTGAAGGAATTCTGCAGAAGATGATAAATGTCTCCAGCAGACAATCACACCAATGATATGGATGTATTCCTGATTAGAACCTACTGTTCTCCCAGACCATCTTTCAATTTGTAGCGGAAGCGCTCATTCATTTTGTCCGTTTTTTTGGAAGCTGCTGGTGCAAAACTTTGCAGAAATGTAAACTTTCTGAGACTGTTATATCTAAAGGCTGAGTCCTCCGATAACATTTCAGCTTTGTATAGTTACTGGTAAGATGGATCCCGATCAGGGGCCAACTGACCACTCATGGGGCCCCCGGGCAATAGGGGATCATGGGGCCCCTGTGTCCTTGCCCAAACTCAAAAAAGCCTATGAAAAAGGTACCAGGGCATCTCATAGGGCCCCCTACTGACCCCGGGCCCTTGGGCAGTGCCCGACTTTCCAAATGGTCAGTCCGCCCCGGATCCCGATACTGACTTTGTGTGTGGGTTTTCATTGGTATGGTAGATATCTCCTCCAGAATTCTCAATCCTGCCACGTCTGAATGACTTTAATAACTGTATGAGGTATGGCAGGTACATGCTCTATTTTCTGTATGGCTTAAGTAATATCTGCACTGACACTGTTATCTGCATATTTCTTCCTATAGAAAGTCCAGCAGTACACCGTTGTCATCCAAGCCACAGATATGGAGGGGAACTTAAACCACGGATTATCCAACACAGCCACAGCCATCATAACTGTTGCAGATGTCAATGACAACCCACCAGAATTTACTTCTAAAATGGTGAGTTGGTCCATGTATCAGTTTGTCAACATTTAAGTTTGCCACTGCTTTCTATTCATTGTTAAGAGCTGCTTCACTTAAATTTATTGATCTGCTTACTTATTCTGGATTAGCAATTTTAAAGTATTGAAGCCAGAGGATCCCCATTACATATAGGAAACTAGCATTGTCAAAAGAAGGTTTTAGCAATGGCAGCATATGAGTTTATTTCTTTACAGGTTTCCTTTAGGCTGAACTCTTAGCAGGTACAAATTAATGTGGCTGTCAGAGCCTGGATCACCTGCTGGTGGCATTGTAGTCCCTGGGCTGGAATTCTAGTATCCACCAGCAGCCAGCATATCCCAGTAATCAGTTTCCACCTGATGCTGGCTGTTGGGAGGGTATTTATGTCCTCCTCTATTAGTCCATTTGCTGCAGGTCTTGCTTGCTGCCAGATACTGCTAACTGTTGTCCTGCTCTCCGTTGTTCCTGATCCCAGTTTTAGTGTCCCCTTCCCATGTGCTTCCTGCACCTCCAGTTATATTTATATTATAAAAAATTTTTGTTGTTTTTACTTATTGCCTTTTCAAGTTTGCTGTGTGCTGGTGATAGGACGGATTTTGTTTCACTATAAATACACAGTCTGGTCCTAGTTTCCTGAGTGTAGCCACACAGATCTGGCCATGCTTGCTGCTGATTCCTGACAGTGGCTCTGTATGCACTAAGACATCATTAAATGTATATTTAAATGTAAGTATTGTAAGCATGTGGATTTGACATTTAGCAGAGCTGGAAAGAAGAATAAGAAAAAGCTGGTAAGATAAAGAAGCATGCTGTTAGTAGAAGTGAGCAGAGTAACAAAGAGGTGAGCACATTACTTTGCTGCTTCTGCATTTCCTCTCCAGTTACAGGCCAAAGGTGAGTCCGGACAGTCTGGGCTCAGAGGAATTGTGTTGAATGGTGCTGGCCATAAGACTGAGGACATCTTGTGGTAGAAAAGAACTGCTGCGGGGTAGAGCTGTGGATAAAGAGTAAAAGGGATGCTAGCGTGGTGGTACTACACAAGTGTGTCCTATTGCTGATAGGCGACCCATGTGGCAGGCCAGTCCAGAAACTGTTATTTAAGATGGCAGACAACAGTGTTAGTGTATACATGGAACAGTGTGTGGTAACGAAGTTTCTTGTGAATGAAGGCATAAAACTTGCGGATATCCACAGAAGACTTCAAGCACAGTATGGTGATGAGATGCTCAGCCACAGTAAGACATCTGAATGGTGTAAACATTTCAAAGATGGCTTTACTTTCATCAGTGATGATCCCGGCTGTGGTGGTTCCCAGCCCACGGCAGTCTTTCCTGTGAACGTTCAGTGTATGGAATGCCTGATTCTGGATAACCAATGCATAACCTGTCATGAAATTGCACAAGAGACAAATCTTTCTGTGTGAACGGTGAACACAATGATGACAAAGTAGTGAAGCAGACTGTCCTAGGATGGTTCAGGCGTACTGACAAATCAAGTCGAAGCTTTCCAGACATTAGCTAAACGCTGGGTATAAATGTAGCAGGGGAGTATGATGAAAAATAAGTTCAGTTTACACTCCTTGAAATTTGTTGTTTTATTATATAAACATTTTGACTTGAACCCCCTCATATAAAAATGGTGCAGCTCTGTGGAGGTAGAAGAGTGTTATAAAGGATGCTTTAGTGCTGGAGACATTGTATAAAATAGCAGCAGTTATAGGAGCTTTGGGATTTTTACTGCGCCAAAACTACCAGTGCAGAGCCCCCAGTGGGCAGAACTAGTGTATAGCTTGCCCATTGCTGGATCAGAAAAACCATCCACAAATAGATTTCACATTTTTGGATGAAATCTCCGCACAATGTAAGGTTCATTCCCCAGGCTACGCTCAATCTGTTTCCTATATTTTCTTATTAATTAGTCCCTGACAGGTCCGTTACTGGTGAAGGTGGCACAGGCCCAACCACCAGTGACTAAGCAGGAGCCACACAGCACCTTGGCAATCCATCGTGATTTATTATGTACTCATTTCTGCTGTACGCGGGCAAATATTGGATCCCATCCGCTAAATATGTTCTGTGTATAACTATATTAGGGGGGGTTAAAAACTCTGCTCTCTGGGGAAATATATGGAAATCAACGTAAAGGAGAAAAATATGGTGTTGTCCACAGCATTCACTTGTACACGTTCATAAATGAATATTACTCATCTACTCCATATGCTAAACATCTTATAAAGGGCAAACCCAGCCACATAAATAAATAAATACATAACTGAAACATTGATACGGGAGCAGTTTTTTTTTAATTGGATAGATTTTATTTGAAATTTGTCATGGTTTACAAAATAACAACTTTATTCCCCTTACCTCCCAACTATCCCAAACCAGTTATAGCAAAAAATATACAGATGCATGTTGGTAAGAAAAGGAAGAACATCTAGATCAGTGGTACTCAACCTTCCTAATGCCGCGACCCTTTAATACAGTTCCTCATGTTGTGGTGACCCCCAACCATAAAATTATTTACCTAGTAATTATAATTCATGAAGTGTCGTTTTACCTCCAATACTGCTGCTTTCAACACAGTAGCTGCTTTTAACACAGCAGCTGCTTTCAACACAGTAGCTGCTTTCAACACAGCAGCTGCTTTTAACACAGCAGCTGCTTTCAACACAGTAGCTGCTTTCAACACAGTAGCTGCTTTCAACACAGTAGCTGCTTTCAACACAGCAGCTGCTTTCAACACAGTAGCTGCTTTCAACACAGTAGCTGCTTTTAACAGAGTAGCTGCTTTCAACACAGCAGCTGCTTTCTACACAGTAGCTGCTCTTTACACATCGGAAATATGTGTTTTCCGATGATCTTAGGCGACCCCTGTGAAAGGGTTGTTCGACCCCCAAAGGGGTCGCGACCCACAGGTTGAGAACCACTGATCTAGATGAAAGCATATTGGAGGCTTCATCTGCAGTCAGCACCTTGTGGACACTAAGAATTACAGATAGGTTATATTAGGCATACATACTGGTGTCACAGGATGTCTTTGGAGGGATGGGGATTGATCAGAGGTATGGGGATCAATCACTCACTAGTCAGCCCTGTTCAATCTATGCAATTGTGACAGGAGGTGGGAGCTGACCAAATCATCGCAGTTTTAGGACACCTCAGAAAGTATGAGGAGAAAAAAATGTTCATACTGAGGGGGGTGATCCTGTTTTAGAATAGTAGTCTGTCTGTAATCAGTAAGAGGGGCTTCTCCTTACATTTTTTTTTTTTTACTTTTGCTGGACATCCCCTCCATACATAGATCAACTTCTAGCTATGTTGCTCCATGTAACATGGTATGGCTGAGTGCAGGCAGTCCACCTCTCTGTGTTATTGTCACACTGAGGGGTCAGGCTTGGAGACCACTAGCTGTAGCAATAGAGAAGCTCCCATTGACCAGCTGGATAAGTACACAAGCAGGTCACCCTGGTGATTGACATCACCCGAGGTGCAGGGCCTAAGCGCTAAATGGTATATACAAGAGCCCCTGATGGTGGAGATGGGTTTTGCTGTGTGTTAGTACCAGGTAGCTGTCTTCAGGATTGCCCCACCAGGAGGTGAGCAGCCCAGGTACAGTAGAAGATATAGCAGGTAATGGTCAAGCAGAAGCGTAGTAAGTAAACAAGCCAAAGGTCGGTAACAAGTGGTTGCAGGTTGAGATCAAGCAGAAGCATAGTTGAGGAACAAGCCAAAGGTCTGGAAGGAATGGCTGCTGGTTGGGAATGAGCAGAAGCAGAAGGAACAAGTCAAGGTCGTTAACGAGTAGTCGTGAAGATACGGATGGCAGCAGGAGAAATTAAATATTGGCTGGAGAGAGCATGATAATCTGACAAACAAGAAGTGCTAAGAAAAGGCTTAAATTGGAAGTTCATCGGAGGAGTCAAAAGGCAAGGCAGGAATCAGGGGCGGACTGACCATTTGGAAACTCGGGCACTGCCCGAGGGCCCGGGGTCAGTAGAGGGCCCCATGAGATGTCCTGGAACCTTTTTCATAGGCTTTTTTGAGTTTGGGCAATTACACAGGGGCCCCATGATCCCCTATTGCCCGGGGGCCCCATGAGTTGTCAGTCTGCCCCTGGGCAGGATTGTCCAAAGAATTGGACAGAGAGCTGTCAAGGATCTCCAGTGGCTCATCAAGATGAGCTATTGCCAGACACAGCTGAGATTGTAAGTTCAAATCCCAGTCTTGACAGTTATAATTTATTAGCTACAAATAGGGTCCTCAGTATAGGTTCCTGCACAAAGGGTGGAATCAATTCCCCATCCATCAAACCAAGCAAATACATTTAGGATCTAAAGAGAAGGTGGTGTGGAAATCATTGCTGACTGTAGTAAGCACCAGTATGGACCAGCAGTGAACAAGTTTTGAGCATCTCCAGAGTATGTGGATGAGATCCCCCGGGGTCTGTTCGCACCTCATGCAGTCAATATCAGCTGTATGGCCATACTGAAATGATTTCTGTGTTCTATGTAATATCAATACCTGGGTTAGCTGTTGTGAGGATGACAGAGACACAGAGGGGATTGGTTGCATTATGTATAGGTGCAGTTTAAAATGATCCTGCCATTGGCCAAAGCAGTGTACCTACCTGTCACTTCACAAGGGAGGATGGACTTGTAGGTAGTTGGTGTCTGATGGGGTCATGCTAGAACAGACAATGCCTATTGCAATCCTTATCAATGTCAGTAAAAGAGAAGTGGAGGGGGGGGGATTGGGCAAAGCTGCTACCCCAATCTTTTTCTAGTTAGGAGAGGAAGGAAGGACAGTGGACTTCAGGTCCTAGCTATGGAAAGATTGGAACTCTCCGGCTGGGATGTTTGTAATGCTGGTCACAGCGTGGTGTCCTGATAATGTTTAATTAACATGATCTGTCTGAGTAATCAGCAGCATGGATGATGAAACAGTACTGACATATACCATGAGATCAATACCCTGCCTTGGTTTTACACCATGCTG